TGCGCGTCCGCAGCCTGTGCTCCGCAACGGGAGAGGCCACAACAGTGAGAGGCCCGCATACCACCAAAAAAAAAAAAAAAAAAAAAGATATTTATGACCATCTCTGTCTTATAGGTGAAGGAAAGTAATTTGCCCAAGGTCGTTTCAGTAGCAAGAAATAGCATCAAAATTTGAACGACACCTCCCTTTAGAGGCGGTTTTTGACTCTGTTATGCTCACAACCCCATGGGGTGGTAGAGTCACGCTACAAACAAGGAAGCTGAGGCTCGGAAGGTTTCAGCAGTGCCTTTATCATCATCGTCACCATCACAGTCGCCACTTACTGAGCACTGTTTCTACCAGAGGTCCTGCTACAGACTCATGTTGCCTGCAAGGTACATATTAATGTGACCATTTGACAAATAAGAAAATCATGTTCATCGAAATTAAGCATCTTGCCCAGCAGATCACATAGTGAATTACCTCCTGGCTAGGGACTGGCTGAGGCGCCCAAGCCAGGAGCCTCTCCACACACTGTGACTTTGCCTCCAGAGGTCCCAGGAGAGGCGGGAGGTACTCACAGCTTGAGGACCGCCGACCGTTTCCCCAGCATCATGTTGACAAAGTCTCGGTAGGAGATGGTGTCGCTGACCCCGCCCGTCACCTCCGAGATCATCTTCTTCATCTCCAGGTGGGTCTTGGGGACCCCAAGCTTCTCCATCATCCTCTTTAAAGACATCAGGTCTGCCGGAGGGAAAGCAGAGCCGTTAAGTGAAGACAGGGGGCCGGGCTGAGTGGGGAAGCTCCCCTCTGGCACCCCCGTGCCCAGAACCAGCCCGGCAGGAGAGTCCATCCCTGGAGACTGCAAGTCGACAGCTTTTCTCCTCCAGGGAGAATGAGCCCATCACATCTTCCCTGCTCTCTGCGGAGGCAGTATGGACTAGTGGTTAGGGACTTGGGCTTCTAAAGTCAGACAGACTTGGGTTGGAACCCAGCTCTGCTATTCTTAGCTGTGGGACCTGGGACAAACTACTTAACCTCTCTGAGCCCCTCCTCCCATCAGTGGTAAAATGGGTTGATGGGATCATCTGGAGCGAGGACGCAGCAGCAGCACCTGGCACACAGCAGGTGCCCAGGAACACAGCATCTCTTCTTCATTCTGTTGTTCTCTCTGCTGCTGCCTAAGGTTCAGGTGACCGTGAGCCTGCGGCTCCTGCTACCCGGGAAGTCACGGCCCAGTGAGGTGGGGTCAGGGAGTCGGCCTGACCCAGGCATCAGGAGTTACTTTCCAGGGCGCGGTGGCAGCTTCTCCCCACCTGCCACTCCCACCCTGCGGTCCCTGGCTCCACCTCGCTGGAATGGAGAGGATGCCAAGAACATCCCGCAGGGCAGGAAAACCAACAAAAGAACAAAATTCAAGAAAAACAAGGGAGGCACCAAAGTCACTACACACTGAGGAGTAGGTGCCTCTGACCTCCTGGCTCCCGAGATCTGAGGCAATTTCCTCCAGATTGTTCCGTGAACAATGGGTCAGGTCAGCAAAGGACAGTGGGAGTGCGGGTGGAGCAAGGGGCCAATTTTAGGGTCAGGGGAGTAGTGGGCCAGCTCACCGGAGAGGGAGGGCCGGCACGACTGGTGCCAGACCCTTAGGTGCCAGGATGTCCAGGGCATTTCAAAGAAAGCTGGGCAACGTTCTACAGGAAGAAGTGAAAGGTCTCCTACACGCTGCTGGCCAGACTCTAAATTGGCAAGACCTTTCTGGAAGGCAATTTGGCAAGATGCTTGAAAAGCCTCTGACCCAGAAGGTCTAATTCCTGAGATTTACTCTAAAGAAATAATCAGCAATGTGGATAATGATTCGTGTACAAAGACGTTCTTCACAGGATTATCAATGAGTTAAAACCAGACATCATTTAAATGGGTGATACTAAGGCATTGGCTGAATAAATTATAGTCTGTCCCCAAATGGAATACCATGCAGCCATTAATTATATTTTTAAAAAAATGGATTATATGTCAAAATACTAACAATATATTGTACAAAATTTTAAAAGGAGGTCCTAAAATGGTATCGAACAGTGTTTGTGATTAGAACAAAGAATGGAAGGATATAAACCAAAATCTTTATCACAGTTATTTCTGGGAGGTGGGATTGTGGTGATGTATTTTTGTCTTTGTGCTTTGCAAAACGTTTTATGATGACGATGTATTCATTTGATACATCGCTTTAAGGAAAAAAAGGGATAAAAATATTCAAAAAGGAGAAAAATGTGAGAAGACAGAGGAGGGGGAGAAACACTGGAGGGAGAACCCACTCAGAAACCACAGGCTGGGATCTGGGCCCTGGCTACCACTTAATGACCACATGCCCCAAGCAAGTCCTTTCACCGTTCTGAGCCTCGGTTTCCTCATCCATACAATGGGAACAATTAAACCGGCCTTGACCGTGTCATAACACTACTGGTGAAGGTCAAGGTATGGTCACGAACGTAAGTGCCATGGAAAAGGTGTCTGTCACCCCTAGCGCCTGGACGGCAGGACACAATAAAGGTCTGCTGGAAGAGAGGACCAATGTCCATGGAAGGCCCTTGTCAACTGCAGGACAGTGTTCAAATGGAAGGACAGGCTTGGGGACAAAGGAAATGCCAGCCCCCTGGGCCAGGGTGGCAACAGCCTGAGCATCTCCAGCCCTGGGCTGGGTGGCACCTCTATCCTGAGTCCGGGGAGCACCTGGGGTGGGAGGCTGGGGTGTGGGCAGGGAGGCGGGGTCGGGGAGGAAAGCAGTGGGGAGAGGAGTTTGCGGGGCAGGGGATCCAGGGTGAAAGGCAGACAAGTTCAAGGCCAGCTTGGCTGGCCTGGCCCATCGGGTAAGCTTCAGTTGGTGCTTGTCACCGTCAAAGTATAGCCCCAGGCTGCTCACCCATGCAGGTGAGTCAGTGGGGTTCTCTGGACGCCCACACCCCCCACCCACGGAGCACTCTCCGCCACCCCACCCCCCGGCTCACCCAAGGCCTCACTCACCAATCTCGCCCTCGTTGTTCAGGTCAAACTCCACATACTTCTCTGGAAATCACAGAGCAAAAACTGGCATTAGCTGGGAAGCAGGGCTGCCCCCTGCAGGGTCCCAGTGACTCCCTTGAGGGCAGCTGGCTGGGTCCCCAGGGTGCCCACACCACCCTCTTCACCCCACAAGTCCCGTCTTTCCTCTGGGGAAAACCATTGTCTCTGGGAAAAGGGCTTGCCCACCTGCATCACCTGCTCACAGGCACCCTGGAGAAAGGTGCCCGGGGGCCACTCTGACCCTGTACCAAGAAGGCCAGCGGCTTCCTCCCAGGCCCCCAGTGTGGGCTGGCTGCATCCAAATCGGCTGTAAAGTGACTGGAATAAATTCCCGGCCCTGGAGATGCAGATCCGCAGGATTTGGGAGGCAGAAATTGGTGTGTTTTCAGAGTATCTCAGGTGATTCAGATGGGCAGCTAGGTGGGAGAACCCCCAATTTAAGAAGTCCCTGTAGTTCTGAACTTTTGGTGGTTGTGGGGGCGGCCGCTCATGGCTACCACTGAGAATCTGATGCTCTCTCCGGAGAAATGCCCGCGGACCTGCCCTTGACTACAGAGTGGCACATACAGTGCCCGGGGCGCGGGGACCCTCCCCGCAAACCTCACCTACAGACTTTGAGTTAAACCTCCCTGATCAAGGGGTCAGAGCAACGAGCTCGGTGTCTCCTGACAAGGCAGTGGGTGCAAACAAGTCGTGTGGCCTTGAGTAGCCACAGGGTCTATTCTGCACCAGCAGCCAGCACGAGAAAGCCAAGGTCCTCCCAGTGACCCTTGAGCCCAGGCTTGCCGCCCCTTTGCCTGGCATGTTCCTCCCAGGCGTTCTCAGGGCCCCTCCTCACGCCTTCAGGGCCCCCAAGCCTTTTTAACTGGGCACCGTCAGTCACCCCCGCAAAGCACCTGCTACCATCTGACACGCTTTCTACTTCCTTGCTCTCTCTTCACCACCCCTCCCCCACTAGGACACCGGCTCCTTTGGCCAAGGGCCGTCTTGTGTGTTCTCCGTTGTGTACCCAGGCCCCAAATGGCCTGGTGCCTAGTAAGGCTCATTTGGAGATCAAATTAGTGAATGATTTGAAACCTCCGTAGTCCCTTTGCTTCCAAGGTAACCTCCTGTGGTCCCAGGATGGACCCTTATCCTACAGCCCAATGAAGACAAGGAGAATGGTCGTTAGACCCCTGGGACCTCTGTCCCTCCTCTCAGAGCCACCTCTGAAGAGTGACCCTATTGGTATCCAGAGAGAAGGGAATGGACTGGCTGCTCCTGCTTTGCGCTGGGAGGGGGAGGGGCAGAGGGATGGGGCTGGGGAACCAGCCAGGGGTGGGCGTGTCTTTGTTCTAGTTCTTTTTTTTCTTTTCTTCTTTCTTTTCTTTCTTTCTCTTTCTTTCTCTCTTCCTTCCTTCCTTCCTTCCTTCCTTTCTTTCTTTCTTCTAGTTCTTTTCTTTCCTTCCGTCTTTCTTTCTTTCCCTCTCTTTCTCTTTCTCTCTCTCTCTTTCTTTCTTTCTCTTCCTTCCTTCCTCCCTCCCTCCCTCTCTTCCTCCCTTCCTTCCTCCCCATGTAAAAAGCACCATTGTGTAATGGTCACAAGCAGGGGCTTTGGAGTGAAACCAATATGGGTATAAGCCCCAACTCTGCCATAGGTGAGCTGTGTGACCCCAGGCAAATGACCCCACCTCTCTGAGCCTGAGTTTCTTCATCTGTAAACTAAAGCTCCCACCATCTCCCTCCTGGCTGGATTGGGATGAGGCAGGAAGATCGCAACCCTGAACACAACAAGGTCACGGTCAGCAAATGCTTAGCCATTGGTGTCCTGCCTAAGGATGGCTACGTTATAAGCGGTCTGAGGAGCATTGGCAGGTTCCTTGCCCTGGAGCAGGGAGGGTGTCCACGTTGCCAAGACTCTGGGGGGGGGGCAGGGGGGACGCAGCCTGGAGGATGTTCACGTGGTCCCCCAGCGCGCCCAGGGCTCCCGCAGCGCGAGTGCATCTCCCGGACAGGAAAGGTGGGTCTGTCCCACTCCTTATGTGCCCAGCTCCTCTCCTTTCGAGCCACTGGCTGAGAACCAAGCGCCAGGGCCCGGAACAGAAGGACCTTTATGCCGCCCCCTCCCCGCGCGGACTCCCGGGCCCTGTTTTCTTTTCATCCTGTGCTGCTGAGATTCAATGGGCAGAAACTCTGCCCCCTGCCCCACTGTGGTGACACAAACGTCCATTCTCCGCAGGGGCTCCCAAGATGCTCCACCGCGCAGGGGGAGAGACAAGGGCTGCTACAAAGAGCTGATTGTGTGCTGGGGCCCCGGGAGCGAGCAGGGCCTGGGCAGGGGCGGGCAGGAGCCAACCTGAGCCCTGCTGGGCAGCAGAAGGGAGGGAAGGGCAGGGCAGGCCGGGGCCTGCAGGCAAGGGACGAGGGGCCTGTGCCCCCAGGCTGGGCATCCCGTCTCACAGCCCGTCGGGAAGAGGGGTATTGTGGATGCAGCATGGGTGCAGCCTGGCCCTGTGGGTGAGGATTTGTATAAGGGGGTGGAGGGGCCCACCCAGCTCTCCTGGGAGGGGGGGGGCGTGGGCAGCCAGCCCCAGCTCACCTTTAAAGGCTGCAAGTTTTTCCGGCAGGTTCTCTTCATCACTATACTTCTGGTCACAGAGGAACTCCTACAGAGGAGAGAGGACAGCACTGAGCAAGGGGTCAGCAGGCAGAACTCACCAACGCACAGGCACACTGCCCATCGCCTCCTCTCCCGCCAGGTGGCTGGGCTTGGCCGCGCAGGGCAGTGGTAGTCCTGGCCTCCTGTCAACCCCCAGAGGCAGATGGGTACAATCCACCCCATGGGTAGGAAGTTTGCTCAGCAGCTGGGGGTGGGGCCCAGAGGTTCCGCTGCAGAAGACTAAACACCTTCAGTCAACCTCTGAATTAAGGGTGCAGGGACCTGGGCTTCCCCCCAGGGCACCCCGGCTCCAAGATCCATGAAGCCATGAGCAACCAAAGACACGTGACTTGGCTCTGGCATTAACTTCCTAGCTATGTGACCCTGAACAAACTGATCCCTCTTTGAATCTCTGTTGCTTTATCTGCAAAATGGGTATAACTATCACAGCTTCTTCTTGCATGAGAATCCAAGGAGAGCGTATATATGAATCTTAGTAGCCCAATAAACAGCAACTTCTATATCATTATTATTAGTCTCTCTCTAGTCAGAAAATAACTGTCCACTGCTTGAGAGGTCACTTACCCTCTCACCTGTGTCCTCACCTGTAAAACAGGGCCCACCTTCCCCTCAGATGCTTGGAGAGACTCAAATGAGTCTTTTCAGAACCAGATGGAGTTGGGAGGAGATGGGAAGGGACTAACAACAGCCCCCAGAATGAAGCACTTACCCACACGGTCACTCCGGATCTCCCAGTGGGCCCAAGAGGTGGCAACTATTATTACTCCCATTCTACAGATGAGGAAACTGAGGTTCACAGAGCCAGAACCTCAAGTCAGCTCTGTCTGACTTTAGAGCCTGCATCTATCTTTAACCCTGACATTTAAAGATGGGCAGTGAGCAGGTATTCACCCGCCTTTAAAACAAAAAACTAACAATTAGCACTTGCTAGGCTGGGCGCAGTGGCCAGGTATCTTACTTGCCTTGTTGCTAATCTTTAAGCGTCCCTAGAACCTGCATTCAGATGAGGAAACAGAGGGTGTGTTCCCATCCTGGCACCAGAGTCCACAAATCCCCTCTACTTCCCTGGACCTTGCTTTCCTCATTGAGTCAACTGGACATGGCTGTGACTCCTTCATTCCTTCAACAGTTTTTGAGGAACCACAGTATACACTGCTCTATTCTAGGCATCCAGGGAGCAGGTGAGACCAAGGTGAATAAGACAAGGTCCTTATCCTAAAGGATAATTTGAGGATAAATTTAAATTACAGGAAGTCCCTCTTTAAAATGATGTTAGGGACTTCCCTGGTGGTCCAGTGGTTAAGGCTGCACACTTCCACTGCAGGGGACACGGGTTCGTTCCCTGGTCGGGGAACTAAGATCCTGCATGCCACGTAGCATGGCCAAAAAATAAATAAATTAAATAAAATAAAACAAAACAAAATGATGTTAAATGTTATCTAGGTCTAACTAATACACAGTTTGAAGGACCCTTCTGCCCCTCCCTAATCCAATTTCTTTTCCTTCCCAGAGGTAATCATTATGCTGAACTTGGGGTTTCTACCATTCTCTTGAATGTTTTTCCTGCTATGACTAGGCCAACTAAAGACATCTTATAAGTTAATTTTGAGGGGTTTAAAAAAATTCTAATTCTAAATTTTGGAACATTCCATACAAATATGCACTTGTAGTTCAATAAATGATCTTTTAAATGAAAAAAAATTTATCTGGGTCAATCACTCAATATGTTTCTAAATTCCTGCCGTCATTTCCCACTAAATGATGACCAAGTCTGTACTTACACATCTCCTAGGACAGGGAACTCACTACCTCTCCAGTCACTGTAAATGGAATGTAGAATGGGACAATGACAAGAACCTAAGTGAGGATAAAGCCCTCTGGGTTTGGATCCTCAGCCCCCTCCTTACTAGCTGTCAAATGGGCTCACGGGTACCCACCTCCTCAGGCACCTACCCCTCAATCGAGACAACCCACTGCGGGCAGTTAGCACCTGGCTCGAGGGTCCGTGCTCAGTAAACAGTAGGTACAATTCTGTGTAGGGCAGAATCTGATCCCTTCCAGGGTTCAAGTTCCTCCACACTAACTCAGCACTCTTTGACTGAGTAGAAGGAACCCCCCGCCAATGTGGCTTCCCTCGCTGGGTCAGGGGTCCTCTGATAGACCCCTTGCTTTTGGCAGGCACTATGTTATCCCATTCAATACTCACAGCCACTGTTATTTGATTTTACATGTGAGAACAGGAGGACCAGAGAGCTAATAACATGTCCAGGGTCCCCAGGCCCTGGGGAAGCTCAGGGTTGGTTTGGAACCTATGTCCATCAGACTCCAGGGCCCATGGGGTCCGGCTGGCTCGGCCACAGCCTCATTCAGAGCCTCATTACCGTGCGCCATGCACAGCCCTGCCTGCACTTAGCTCCACGGAGCTGGAACCTTCCCCTGCAGTCTGGGAGGCTGCCCTCCTGTCGGCTGGCTCTGTCTGTCCTTCCCTTCCTCTTGGCTTCCTCTCGTAGGTCTTCTCCACTGAGGCCCCCACCCCCATTCCTTGACCCAAAGTAGGGCAATTAACTCTTGTCTGTGACCCTGAGCAACCCAGCAACCCAGGCACCTCCTGGGGTCACAGATCCCATATCTGTCCAATGGAGGTACAAATCGGCCAATGGTTCCCAGACTCTGGGGTAAAGCAGAAAGAAACATTTCCCCCCCCCAAAAAAAGGTGGGGGAAGGTGCTAATATTGGGCTTCCAAGATTTTATTTTGCCAAGTAAAGACTTTAAATAATGACCATGGACTGTTGCCACGAGTTCAGAAAAGGATATTTTGTAAAAGTAGGAACTTCACAATCTCCAAATTTTTAAGTGGAACCCATTTAGCCTACGTTCAACTCACCACATTGTCCCTGTGTTCCCTTCACTTCACCACATTAGGAACTGGAAAGCCTTCCTGGGGAGGCACAGGTAAGAACACAGGTAAGGCTCAACATCTGGGAACCTCTGGGGAAAGACCTGGGGGTCCTCCAAATTCCCAGTCTCTGGTTGACCCGAAATCCCGCACCAGCCTGGAGCCTATCTGTAATATACACTGATCACCTCTAGGGATCCAGACAGATTGGATTCGAGGGGCAGGACATGGTCCTGGGTCTTGGAGACAAATGAGACACAGACAGAGACAGACAAGAGCTCAGCCTAAGCCACAGGGTGCTTAATAGCCACACCCCTCCCTGGACCTGACCCCAGGACCATGCTCTCGGCAGCCCCGGGGCTTCCAGGATTATTGTCTTTTCGCTGATGAAGCCGGTTTTCTCCTTAGCACCAATCACCATCTAACATGGTATTTCATTTTTGTCCCCAACTCCCCACCCCTCTCCACCAGAGTGGGTGCCTTAGCCACCCTGACCTCCCTTCTATGCCTCTCCCATGCCAGGCGTGCTCCCACCATGGGACCTTTGCTCCCTGCCTGGAGCGCACATATCTGCACGTCACCTCCTTCAAGTCTTTACTCAACTGTCACCATCTCAATGAGGCCAACCCCATCCACTCTGTCCACTGGAGTCCCCTCCTCCACTTCCAATCTATCTTAAGATAACACCTTTTATACCATGATGAGTCATCTCCTAACACAATTTACAGTGTAATTGCTTATTAAGGGTGTTGTCCATTATCTGTCTCCCCCTGCTGGGTTCTACATAGTAGGTGCTCAATAAATATTTGCAGGAAGGGTCAATGAATTGAGACTCAGAAAGGATGAACAACTTGTTCATCAAGGCAGCACAGCTCACAGGTGGCTGAGCTGGGATTAAGCTCCACTGCAGAGGCTGCTTGGGTTCCCTGCCTGCAGAGAGCTGGGGAGTAGAAGTGACCCAAGGAGGTGGGTGTTGGAAGGATGCTGAGAGGAGGCAGGTCCTTGGTCACAGGACACATCCAGGAGGATGTGTTTACTGTCTCTGCCCCACGGATGCATAGCACCCAGCAGTGCCCAGCGTACAGCAGGTGCTCAATAAACATTACTGAATGAATGGAGAAGACTGCCGTTCAGCCCAGAATGACTTTCTCCACTCTCAGCCCTGCAACAGAAAAGGCAGCTTGGCAAATGCATGTGTGTGTGTATGACAGAGGCTGGAGAGGCCTCAGAGATTGGAATCACATATTTCCTTAGAGCCAACAGTGACAAATGCTTGAGCCACAGAGTGACCGGGGGTGGGAGAAGCAGCTGACCCGTTCACATGTGGGTGGGCAGCCCTTGCTGACCCAGGGCTTGGGGCAGCTGTGTGGACCAGGAGGCCGGGGAGGCAGGAAGGCGTGTGGCAGGAACAGGAGCTCCACTGGCTGGGCTGCCGGCTCCCACCCCACCTCCGAGCTTTGGATTCCTGGTTCCTGCTCATGCACAGCCCACAGCTTCCTCCCTCCAGGGGTCCTCCCCCCATATCCTAGCTCAGCTTCAGGGCACAGCCACGCCCACTGGGCGGATCCCTTGTACCCGCCCCACCCTGCCCTAACTCTGGGCCCCCAGGCAGAGGAGATGGAGCTAGAAGTCACTCCAGATGTTTGGAAGAAAAACAAAGACAGAAACAAAAAGAGGGCGAACTGGAGCCAGAATGCCTAGGTCTGAGCACACTTAGTGCTGTGTGAAAATGACTTCATTTACCTGTGCCTCATTATCCTCAACTGTAGGAAAGATAAAAGTATTAACCACATAGGCTTGTCCTGAGAATTACAGTATGTAAGCAAACATATCTAAAGTGCTTAACACAGTGCCCAGCACTTAGTAAATGTTAAATAAATGTTAGCCATTTATTATTATTATCATCGACTAACATTTATATACCTTCAGTCCACTTACAACCCACAGCTCATCATCCAGACCATCACTGACTATTAAATAGATTAGGAAGGAAACCCCTCCCCTAACTTAGGCTGGTTATGGTTGCTCTTTCTCCTTTTTGGGTATTCCCATTTGACAGATGGGACAACTGAGGCCCAGAGAGGTTGCTCAACTTACTAAAGATCACAACGTTTTCACAATTCAAGGTCTATCTCCCTTCAGCATCCCAGCTCCCTCCCTGCCCCAAACAAGGCCTGGCCACAGGTTTCTGGGCAAAGAAAGTCAATACTGGGAGTTACCTTTCCTCTTGGGCAGAAAGATGTTATTCCAGAGGCCAGGGAACCACTTTATAGCCCTCTAGGGGCATGGGTGTGTGTGTAGATGGTTTATTCTAGCCCCTCTCCCACTCCAACCCACCGTCCCAAAAGACAAGTTTTTCAGGCTGTAGAAACTGCTGTCAGGGCCTCCAGGTATGAGGGATGCAGGGGTCCCCTGGGCTCTGAGAGTGGCAAGTCTAGAGGCCTTGGTGGCCTGGTCAGCCCCTGGCAAAGAGCCAGGAAATGCAAGCAGGGAGGGGCCTGGGGTTGAAAACAGGAAGCTCTGAACCAGGCAGTCACTTCTCAAGCCAGTGTCCACAGGCCAGGCCCAGGGAGGTGGCAGAGCTGTTCCAACATCCACCCAGTCACAGAACCCAGAAGGGACTCCTCAGAGCATCCAGCTTGTTCTCTTTGTTCAACAGCTGGGGAAACTGAGGCCCCGAGGGCAAGGTCTTGATTAAACCATCCTTCCTCTAGGCAAGTACAGGGCGTGCAAGGCAGAGGGACAGGGCAGGGAGGTTGACTTGGGTTGCCCGGGTTCAAATCCCAGCTCCAGCACTTACTAGCTCTGTGGCCCTGGGCAACTTGCTTTACCACTCTGGGCCTTAGTTTCCTCATCTGCAAAATGGAATCATAAAGATAGAACCTCTTCACTGGGTTGGTGTAAAGATTAAATGAGCGAACTGCATAGAAAGAGCCTGGCTCCTAGTATACTTACTAACGGTTAGCGATTATCATTGTGCGTTTGGATCGCCCAAACTCAAGCCACACCAAGAGACAACTCTTGGGGAAGGGCAGAGAAGAGACCCACCCACAACTTTCTTTGTCCCCTACTGTGCCACGAAGTCCTCCTGGTGAGTCTTGACCCTCTGGTCATTCCTCCTCAAGGGCAAACTTTGCTTTGTCCTTGGATACCTGGCTGAACTGGCCGTGACTGGCCATCCACGGAGGACAGAGTGCCCCCATCTCAGCCCTGAGGGACGGTGCCTGCAGCTGCATGGGCTCACTGCTGCCTCTCTTGGTCATCTACAACCTCTGATGCACATCAGAGGCTCCCCCCACCCCCTGAGAGCCCCGTCCAAGTGCTCATGACCAGGAGGGGCTATTTCCCCAACCAGCAGAGATTGGCAGCCCCTGCTGTGTCTTGGCCTCCAGACCTTTGCCACCTGCCTGCACCCCCCAACGCCCACCCTGACTTAACTCTCTTTCTGGGCTGGTACCTCTAGCACCTGCTCCTGGATGCTTGCTCCCGGCCCTCCAGGCTTGCCTTTATGAATTAGCCGCAGCAGAATTTTAGGGCTGGCAGATAGCACCATCTCGGAGGCCATCCAAGGGGCTGGTGGCTGAAGCCTTGGGGGAAAACCCCAAGGACAGGTGGCACGATGCCTGGCCGTGTGGCCTCTGATGCAGCCCACAGGCTCTTAAAGGGCCAGGGCCAGGCCATAGATGCCCGGCCTGGTGCCTGGCGTGTAGCAGGAGCCTGTAACGTGCACCCACGAGGACAGCAGGCTCACATTCCCCACGGCAGCTCTGGGGCCTCATCCGGACTCTGTGTCCTCGCCAATAGATGGGGCAGCTGGAGAAAAACACCCCCACTGACTACACAAATGAAGCAGACCCTGCAGAAATTCCATCTCCAGCTTCCTGCGACATGGCCACACCGAGGTCGAGACTGGTTGGACCTGCGGGGACACTGAATCCTCAGAGGCTCACGTGGCTCCTTATCACCATCTCCCTTATAATATATTAAGGAAGAGCAAGAGAGACGGGTGCCCGGTGATGCCAGCTGGGCACATTCACCTGGGCAGGGACAGGGTGGCACTGCCAGTACACAGGAAAAGAGACACACCTGTGTAGTGCCTGGGTCAGGTCTCAGAGGTCTCCCACTGCTGGGGGAGGGGCTGGGGATAAGCCTTACCCCAGGTAGAGATATCCAGCCTGCCGTACCCAGTTCTTCCCAGCACAGGTGCCACGTGGGTTCTGAAATAACCATCAGGCACCGAAATGCTACAGGGAATGCTGAGTGCCCTTCATTCGACCCAGGATGGCTGAGAGGGCAGGACAGTAGCCAGAGATCCTTATCCACATAAGCAAGAGAGGCCTGTGTCACAGCGAGGCCACAGCCACCTGGTGGACAGGGGCCAGGGCGGGCCAGGGGCAGCGTCCGGAGACAGAATCCCGGCTGTGTCACTTCCTGGCTGGGTGACTTCACCTGGCTGAGGCTCTGTTTCCTCATCTGTAAAATGGGAGGCTTAGTAATCCTTGTCTCATGGGGATGTTTACAGACTCTTGCTGGGCATCTATCTAATCAAGTGTTCCATTGAGAGGAGTCAGTGAGATGATTTATGCCAAGTGCCAGGCCCGGAGCAAAGGCACCACTCATGCTATTCTGCTAAAGATCCTGGCCTCTGGCCGGTGCAAAGCCACGGCTCTCGCCATCCTCCAGTGTCTTCCTGCTCCATTCCAAGGCTAAGGGCACCCTGAGGGGCACCCACCCAGCCCCACAGCTTCCCTCTGTCCCTGTGGGAAGCTGGAGGGAATTTGTCCCGTTGCCATATAAGGCCGGCTCTGGCTGGCCCAGGGTCACCTGCCATGCCATCAGGGCGTGGGGAATGTCAGCTATGTGGGGGAGTAGGAGACACGCGCTGGTCCTGCCCGCTCCAGTGGTGCAGAGCACGCGCGAGCACACGTGCGCACACACATACAGCCCGGAGGTGGGGCGGGCACATACAGAGGAGCCCCAATCAAGCTCAGAAATGGAGAGAAGAGGCTGGGTTCAAGTGTGGCTGTTTAAACCCAGGCAATTTACTCAGGCCCTCTGACTCTCGTCTCCTGCAAAATGGGAACAGACGCTCGCAGGGTTGGAGTGCGCATCCGACGAGATAATGTCTGAAGCATGCCTGGCACACGCCAAGGGCTCAGAAAATGAGAGCAAAACCTAGAGTGAAACCCCAAAAAAGTGCATTTTCATACAGTTCCACCAGGACCTTTAGGTCCACCCAAGACCCCTTCTATCTTGACTCCTGAATCCCTTATAAGAACAATAACCAAGACTGAGCTACCCCGCTGCACTCTGGAAGCTGGCCCATCCCAGCGGGGAGAAAGGCCCCAGAGGAACTGTTGGCCCAGAGAAGCCTCCAGAGCTCATAGCCAGGCTGGGCTCTGCCCCAGGCAGCAGGCACAGCGGTGCCCAAGCACATATAGTGAGTCATGAAGCCCCATCCTTCACGCCTTCTGGCTTCCATGGGACCACTGGGGCAGCTGTTCAGCCCAGCCCCCCAGAAGCCGCCCTCCAGTGGGGCAGTGAAGCTGCACCCCCAAAGGCAGGCAATCTGGACTGCCAATGTGCTTCCCTCCAGAATCCATCCACCCAAGGGAACTTCCACCATGGCCATGGCCGTGGGTAAAACCGACCCAGACACTCAAACACAGCGACTCCCTGAAGTGTCTGCAAGGAATTTCAGTCTGTTCATCTCCTCTGATTGCTGTAGGGACTTAGAGCAGAGCAGGGGGCTCTGCTCCCATTTCAGACAGGGAAAGATAAGATTCTGCCAGACAAAGGGGTCTGGTCCAGGCTGAGCAGCCAGTCTACCTCAGACCTTGCCCCTGGGCTTCCACTCCCATACTTTTAAGTCCCAAACAAACCAATGATAGCAATCAAGACAGCAGCCAGCTCTCCTGTGTGCTTTACATAGATTATCTCTGCTGCAAAATCACAACAAACCTACTACCATCATCTCAAGTGGCTTGCGCAAGGTCACAGAGCCAGTGAACAGCCCCCTCCGCCTGTGACTCTAAACTATGGTGGGGCCACCCTGACCTGCTGTGGTGGGAAGCAGGTCAAGTTTCTGGTTTGATCCTGGAGCCTGCTTCCTCCGGGAGCCCAGAGCCTGGGTCCCAGCAACCTGACAGTAGCCCCGGTTCACACGGTGGATCTCAGAGTAGCATCCAGTCAGGGAAAGGACGCTAGGCTAGAAGCTCTGCCACTGGCTTCGGTGTGGCCTTGGCCAGCTGCTTGCCCTCTCTGGGCGTTGGGGTCCCGAGGTGGTTGGACACAGCCCCCTCTTGTTCACCTTCCCCAATCTCAGCGCTGTCCAGACCAGCCCCAGAGAGCCACAGCCCCTCCCCTTTCTGAGCCAAGCCAGTACACCTCCCAAAACAGCCCTGTGGCCTCACCTCCACACCCCACCTAATCCCCCCATCTCCCCAAGGGCAGGGTTGGCATGGAAAGTCCCACACACTCTCAGCTCCTCTGGTTTGTCCAACTACAATCCCCTCTCCCCCATCTCCAGCTGTCTCTGGCTCGGGGTCCTCTGGCTGTGGGTGGATTCAACTGGCTTGGAACCCAGCCTGCTGAGTGGCCCAGGGGGCTGTATGAGGTCAGGGTTCCAGGCTCCTGTCCAGAGGGCCAAAGCAGCCAAGACCAAGGCTGAGCTGGCTGCAGAGTGAACTGGGGCGGGGGGGGGAGCCCAGCAGCCTGGACCCCCAAGAGCCCCAGCCAGACGCCCAGGCTCCCTTTCAGCTGTGCTCAAGATGGCACTAAGAGGCCAGATGAAGATGGTGATGAGGAGGCCAGAGTTTACCTGGAGGGACCCTGGGGTCCCCAGAACCCTCCATGGGATTCCTACGGCCAGTGGAATGAAACCAGGCAGGCTGCCTAGCTCTAGGCAGTCCAAGGAAATCAAGGAGGGAATAAAGACTGCAAGCCCCTGTCGAGAGTTATACTACAACCGTGCTGCCGCCCGTGGACCCACCTCCACATGGACTCCACGAGGACCCTGCTGACCCTCACCAGCTTTCCACTTTGGGACTCTGAGCTGGGTGCCCAGTGGCCCGGGGGAGGCTGCAGGGGAAATGTCCAGCCTTGTTTCAGTGGGCATGATTCTGCAACCGGTTAGAAGGAAACCTGGAGACATCCTCCTCAAGAAGTAATCCTAGTACCATCCATGGAGGTCTTCTCTTGTGCCAGATGCTGGACCAATCACGTAGCATGCCTTCCCTCATGGAGCCCTTATGGAGACCCTGCCTCTGTGATGAGAGGTCCTTGCTGGGGACCACAGAGCTGGTACATAATGGAGACCAGATCTGAGCCCCAGTCTTGCTGTGCTGCCTTTGAGTTTTGGCCAATCCACGCAGGCCCTAACAGTTTTCCTTATCTTCTAGAATTTAAATGGTGCAGAGCACAGGCTCCGGACGCGCAAGCTCAGTGGTCATGGCTCACGGGCCCAGCCGCTCCGCGGCATGTGGGATCCTCCGCGGCTTGTGGGATCCTCCCGGACCAGGGCACGAACCCGTGTCCCCTGCGTTGGCAGGCAGACTCTCAACCACTGCGCCACCAGGGAAGCCCATTTAAATGGTGTTTAAGCAAAGGTCTAAAACGTCCCATTGTGTGCCTGGCAACAGCCGGAAGGATTTCTTTTTAGAAATCCACTAGGATCAGGATGAAAAGCACCAAGTCTCTAAGGCAACCTTTCCTAAAAGCCTGAGAGAGGAGTTTGTGTGTGTGTGTGTGTGTGTGCGTGTGTGTGTGTGTGTGTGTGTGTTGGGGGGGGGAGAGGCAGGAGGCCAACCTTTTTTGGGTGGAGAGAGCACTGGCCTGTGAGTCTGGAGCCCAGGGTTCTAACTGCAGCCTGACCCAGACTTGCTGTGCCATCTAGGGGCAGCCACCTCGCCTCTCCGAGCCTCTCTTCCGTCCCTCGCTGTAAAACTGGGAATTACTCGAGACATCAGGGGTCCCTTCCAGCGCCAAGTCCCTGCAGCTGGTCCCAGGCCGGCTCCTGGGGAGCCAGGGGCCGGTGGGCCGGGCTGGCATCAGAGCTCCTGGGAGGGCCCTACCTCCCTAGTCTGCGAGTAACAACTTGCAACCCGAGACCACAGGGCGGTGGACGGGGTGGAGGGGGACCTACCTGGAGGCACAGGGAGGGGGCTGGAGGAAAGAAATCGGGGGAAGCCTGGGTGGAGGGGAAGGGGGGTTGATTTTGCGGCAGGCACAGCCGCGCAGACGGAGGTGGGACCCGCGGAGCGCTGGGAGCTGTAGGGCCGACTCGCCAGCTGCCCTCGGAGGCGGCGGGGCTGGCAAAGCGAAGGCGGCGGCGCGCGCTTACCCGGTTGATCTCGGCCAGCCTCCTCTCCTGCCGGGCTTTGAGCAAACCGAACGCTTTCCCTCCTGGAGGAGACAAAGAGGCGGCCGGGGAAGCGGGGGTCTCCCCCGGGCCGCGCGCCCTCGGCTCGCGCCCGCTTCCCGCGCGCGGCAGA